CACAGGACGCTCAAGTGAATCCTGGCGTCAGCCGGACGTCCGCGAATATCCGCTGCGAGTAAGCAGCGGGCGAACGAACGGCCGCGCATGCGATGCAATTTGCGGAGAGCGGCCGATCGGCGAGGCGGTGTCGTGGGACAGCGAAAAGCGAACGCGCTCGAAGCCGGCGCGCGGATTTCCGTTTGCCGATGAAAAACCGACGGGACACAATCGGCGAGCAGGTCCGGCTCTCGATCGGCCTCGAAAGGCCCGAGAGAGGAGGCGATTTGCCCCGCTCGCTCGCGCGGCCGAGCGTCGACGATAATGGACCGGATCATCGTCGATTCGTATGTACATCGTCCGCCACCTGCACACACGGCGAGTCCGGGCGTAGTCGAATCGTGGGAATCGTCGGATTACATCCGCCCAATTAATTTTTTCGCCGGTACCGACCGCGACGGCCGGACGGTTTCGCATAGCGTTCCCGAACTGCGCTGCTGCAGGAGGAGGAGGAGGAGGAGGAGGAGGAGGAGGAGAAGGAGGAGCAGCAGCAACAGCAGCAGCAGCAGCAGAAAGAGGGAGGATGGAATAGTATGAGGCAAGAGAGGAGGAGCAAGAGGATGAGGCTGCTGCTCCCGTTTTTTACGCGCGCTCGTTTAGCTCGCTACAACCGACCGGTAATATCGGGATGCGCCCCTTTAACGCGCGACTCGCGCGCGCGATATGCGACCGCCGCCGATACTCGCTCCTTCTCGCTCCGGAGCGTCGAGCGTGTGTGTGTGTGTGAGCGGCGGTCGGAGGCGCCGGTATCGCGATTAAGCGAGGAAATCGCCGTAGCTCGGCTAATAAGACTATTTGCGGCTGTACACACACGCGTCTCTGGGCCGCTCGCGACGCTAAAAGCGAAAGTGAAATTAGGAACGACTGCGGAGCGACTGCGAGCGCCGCTCTTCTCCGCCGTAATGCGTCTAAGTGTAATTTCCGACCGACCGGCCGGTCGGCCGGCTGGCTGCCATCGCCATTAACCGAATGTGAGGGAATGTGAAAGAACCGAAATCTGCGGCCCTCCACGGAGAAATCTTGGCCGCGTCGCGCGAAAATACGTCACAGCGAGTCAAGCCATCGGCCGCGACGGCCGCAATATTAATTTAATGGATTGCGGACTCGTCACGTTGCTCGAGCGGGAGGAAAAAGGGGGCGGCGATCGGTCGCTTGGCGTCTCGCGCATCCGAGTGATTTCGCACGCGTGTGCACGAGTGCGAAAAAGTAAGAGGCGCGCGTCTCTCTCTCTCTCTCTCTCTCTCTCTCTCCTCTCTCTCTCCTCTCTCTCTCTCTCTCTCTCTCTCTCTCTCTCTCTCTCTCGACGTCTCTGTGTCTCTCGAAGGACTTTCACTTGCCCTCCGCTTTGGTGCGCATCGCCGTGCCGAGTTTACGAGCACGTGAGACGCCACTAAGAGCGTCCTCCTCTTCCTCCTCCTCACTCCACCTCCGTTTCCTCTTGCGCGCGTCTTCACCTAAATACATCGATTCAACGGCGGATCTGAAGCCGTCGCCGCCGCCGCCGCCGCTGCCGCGACCCCCGGCTGTAACGGGAACGCGCGACGAGCTTCCGTTTGTGACAAATATTAAGTATTACTCGGTCGGAAAGCGGAGGTACTGGATGACTTCTTCATTGTCGTCGACCTGTCGCATTCGCGAAATCGGATCGTCGCTCACACGAGAGCCGCGAGTAATCCTGCAAGTCTCTCCGGGTGTTCCAGAATGATTTCACAGGTCTGAGTCGTTAATCAGGCTAGAAAGCAACACGCATGCACACGTTTCAAGAGATAAAAACTTACTTTTTTGAGAGTGAGAGAGAGAGAGAGAGAGAGATTTATCGATACTTCTCGATCGATACTTGAAGGGTCGAGTCGCGTCGTCAGGATCACTCCCCAGATTGCTTCAGGTCGGCGAGCAAATCGCCGAGTAAACAGCAGGCCGAAGGAGCGCGATTACATGGACGAGGAAGGGTAATGTCCGCGTCGGCGACAGCTTCCACTTGTACAACACGGAGCAATTTTTCCAGCCGTTGCTTCCGATCCAAGTCCGGCGCCGAACTTCACGCAGCACAACGGACGGCTGTCGACGCGGTAACGTCCTGGAGGGCGACCGTGGTCGCTGAAGCGCGACGAGATCGCGCGAAGGGCGGCCGCTCGCAACCCCGTCGCTGATCCATGGCGACAGATTTCATCGAGCCGCCCTCGCGTGATCTTGCTCCCCCAGATTGGACAGGGCATCACGCCTCCCCTCCGCGAAGTGTCGCAATCTCCCTCGCCCACGTCCCGTTTTCTTCCTTTCGCTTCTTCTCCTTCTCTGAACTAATAAAATATTGTCGCTCATTATTTCTCTCTTTCTCTCTCTCTCTCTCTCTCTCTCTGTCTCTCCTTCTCTATGATTGAAACGGGTCTCTCTCTGTCGAACACGGTGTGTCAAGCTCGAAGTAACGCAATGTTATTTAAATAAAACGGAGCGCGAGTGGATGCTGATGCCTGATGGGGGAGGGGAGGGGGAGGGGGACAGACGGCACGGCGCTGGATGATCGCTCGGCTAGCCGCGTGACGAAATCGCTCGCACGTTCGCCCGTTCACTCGCGAGCGCTCATAAATCGCGTGAATTCGCGAGGTGAATCGCGATTAACGGTAGCCGAGCGCAGCGGCCGCCTCCGTTGCCAGGACGATAAATGACAGCGGGAGAGGACGAGGACGCTTCTAAACGAGCAAAGTCAAGAGAACCGAGCGGATGCAGCAGCGTTCTCGTCGCGTCGCCGAGGGACAACATGAGGGTGTGTAGGAAAGTGCAGGTGGGAGAGGGCGGAAGAGACGACAGGCCGAGAGAGAGAGAGAGAGAGAGAGAGAGAAGGGGGGGAGGGGGGGCAAACACGAAGAATGCCACGGCAATCGTAATGGGTCTGCCAGCGGCTGCAGCAACGGCGGCAGCAACAGCAACGCTGCAGGTAATAACCATCGCGTATATAACGACACGATGAGTCGTGGGTAGCTCGGCCGATGGGCTTCGGCACCTCCACGGCTTTCACGAGATTCCCTGGGTTCTGCCCGCGCTGATATACACGGTGTATCGAATGCACGATCCTGTCCGAATTAGCGCTTCAACCTGGGCCTGCTGGGCGACCAAAGCTTTCGCTCCGCGTATTTCACCGTCAATGTCCAGGTGATATCGAAAATTGCCGAATTATTGAATATTCATTTCATCTATTGATGAAAAGAATATTGATGATATTCTTGAAGAGATGTACCTTTGCAAATCTAATCTTCCGTTTCCTTTCTTCCGAGCCTCTCTGGACTTCCCGATTCCCGAAATATGGCAGCCGTAGCTTTAATCTAGGCTGGAATCGCCGACGACTTGGTACACGCGGCCTATTTCCAGCGGAGCGATCCAAATGTCAGGATCTGGAAGATACACGTTCGCTCGAGGGCAAACGATATATACATTTGTTTCTCTCGGACGTATAAAAATGTCAACAATTCCCACGAAAAATTACAAATCGGTGAATTTTGAGCGCTTGAGCGATTTTAACATGTTGAAGCTCGACGCGACTCCACTCGCAGCCTCTTACAAGATAAATAGTCTTCGCGGAAACATCCTTTCGAGAGAAAGGACTCTCTCTCCGTAAATTTCTCCCGGGTCAATCTACCTTCCGCGCGCGTCCTGAAGAGAGACGACGCGCGATTACGGCTGCGTCGTCGCGGAGAAGCGAGATTACGTAAGACTGCGCGGCTAGCGGCGCCTTATCGTCGCTATCTCGCGTCGTCCGCGACTTCCTCTTCGCGACTCGGACTCGCGCCATCGTCGTCCTCGTCGTCCGACCGGATCCTTTCTCTCGTCGATCTTCCCACAGCGGTGCGCGCGCGCGCGCACGCGCGCACGCGGCTGCACCGGCGCGGCCTTTGTCGTCGCGGTGCATTCGTGTCCTGCCTCCTTAAGCGCGGCTCGCACGCCGCTGCCGACGAGGATGACGACGACGAAGACAACGGCAGCACGGAAATAGCGTGATGTCTGGCCTCGAAAGCGCGCTCGGTGGGTGAGTAATATCGGGTGTCCCGGAATTAAGCAGCAGCGAGCGACGAATATCTGCTGCACTCGCGATTAGACGCGCGAGTTTCGATCGCGGGATCCCCGGAGGAGATTTTATCCCGCGGCGGTTTCATTCGGCGAAGAGCACTCGCAATCTTCGCGGAGAACATTATCGAGCGAGCCGGATGTTCCTCGCGAGGCGCCGCGCCGCGTCGTTTGCGTACTTTTTACCGGATTAAATTCTTATTACATAGCGGGATATATACAAGAGAAGTGCTCTCGGCTGGTAACAAGATCGAGGGGGTGAAGACAGGCGAGAGACGTACATACATGTTTTCTTTTTTTTTAATATATCATTATTAATCGTCCACTGTCGTTTGCGTGATATCGTTATATCGACAATTCATCTATTTACATGTTCCATAATAATAATATTAATAATTAATAATAATAATTGTAATTGTATACTTCTACTACAAATATACAGATTTGTCGCGTGTGTATGTGTGTGTGTGTGTTTTGTATCTCTGTGTATGTATACGTGTCGCGTTGTTCTTTCCGTTTTTTTTTTTATACAAAAATGGGATATACGCCTTTAGGGGAAGAAGTCTTTACAATCTTCGCGTATCAATGCCTCGTCGCGAACAAAAGGCCACTATCTGCGGGGATGGTGGGGGAAGAACAGGAAAAGGAAGAGGAGAAGCGCAGAGAGAGAGAGAGAGAGAGAGAGAGAGAGAGAGAGAGAGAACAAGGAAGGAAGAAGATAATCTCGCGATCGCGTTGATAGAGAAGAGAGGAGACAAACTCCTCTAATTCGGAAGTCGAGCGATCGCGCGATATCGAGCGGTCGGAAGATGAGGACGAAGAGGAGGGCTATCGGAAAGATGACGAGCAGGAATGGACACCGTTCAACGATTAGCGACGTATCAAATCGTCCGTGGAAGTGTAAGTACAAAAAATGACAACAGCTTTATTACACGTCGTAATTCATACAATATAATCGTATCTCGCATCTATACGCGTATACGCTTCTCGTTAATCGGGCAATGTTACGCGCGTGCGCGCGCGCGCGCGCGCGACGGCGTCCGATCGAGGATCGGAAGGTGCGTAGCGCGGGGCGGCGGGGATCAGGGATCGATCGGTGATCCTCGATCGATCCGCGATCACCATCGCGATGTGATCGATACGCGGCTGCAACAACCGCTACCGGCGCTAAGGCCGTGCGAGCGCGCGAGCGAGCGACATCCCGAACGTAAGCCTGACTTAGTCGAATACTTGCATTTCGTTTATTTAATTATCATTATTTGTAACAGGAACATCATCGAATCTTTGTTCGCTACAATTCACGCATTCACATACATGCACACACACACACACACACACACGCACACGCACGCACTCTCTCTCTCTCTTTCACACGCGTTCTAACTTACGCACATGCGCTTCGGACGTCACAAAATATCGTCACATCGTCATTGTCATCAGCCGTCGTAATTATCGGCGGCTCTGTTTCTCTCGCCACCCGCTTGTTTTGTTGCGCCGTGTAAAATCGTCGCGCGTCCGCAATCAGCAGCCACATAAATAAATAATTAATTAACCGGCGACCGTGCGCGATGACCGTCAGCGATCCGTCGCGCGTCCCGCGCGAGGATTGACTCGCATCCGCGAGAGAGCCGAATCGCGCTCTGCTCGACTCTTCTTCACGCGCGAGCGAACGTCGAGACGATGAGATATCGCTTGAAACCGCAAATTCGCCGGTCCGTTGCGAACGAATGGCGCGGAGGACGGGCGAATTCGCGAAAGCTCGCGCGACCGAGTCAACTTTGAGGCGAAGTTTGCGCGACCGATCCTTTCCCACTTTCCGGATGATGGCGACCGGAAACGCGGACAACGTCCCGAGGGGACGTCCAAATGCCTGCCTCCTACTCTGAGAGAGAAGTCATCTCCGGAAGCACGTCTTTCGCGGTACTTGTTTCTTCGAATGACTTCCGGACTCTCGCGTCGGGAAAGAATCGATCTCTCCTAGCTGTCGCCGTGACAAAGTTGACGAGCGTGGAAGGGAGAAATCGGTCGCTCTCCGATTCGATTCGACGTTTCTTCGCGTGCGAGATGACGCGCGATTCGTCTTCTCTCGCTAATTTCGGCGCCAAGCCACTTCGGAACAATCCGCCTCGTCGTCTCGAGACGCCGCCACCGATGACGACGCTGGGTCTGTCTCTCACTGTGTTTGTATTCTTACATACACATACACACACACACTCATACACACACACACACACATATATATACACACACACATATATATATATATACATATTATATATATATATATACATACGTATATTTCTTTATTATCTGTATAATTTATACACACATCTACTGAAGTCTCCTCAACCGCGTGCGTTAGCGCGAGCGCGCAATGTCTCGTCGAACGAAACGCATCGTCTTGTGCGCATGACCGGAAGATTCCCCCCGCACGGGCGGAGGACCTTTCCTCTCGTGTTTTTGATTTTTTTTGCGTTTTGTATTTTTTTCTTCCTACCAAAGCTTACTTATCTATCGCGCGTCGTCCAGTCTACGCTTCACGCGTCAATTTCACCCCGCGTTCACCCTTGCTGAAACTTACGGAATCGTCTGCGTCGCGCCATCGGCCGAGCCGTCCGACGCGCGTCTTCGGATTAAAAGGACGAAGCTTCGCACGTAAAGGCCACGTTTCACCCTTTCAATCGGCCGGTGTCTCACCGGCGAGAAGAGCGCGAGGAACGTCGCGCCAACGACGACGCGACAATCACCCGACTCCTCGGGACAGTCGCCGAAGCGGAGGAAAAAATCCCGGAGGGTCGAGCGAACACTTTTCTCGTCCTTCTCTTTCCATCGCGAGTCCAGGATCACCGCCAAATATCCGCTACTTACCAGAAAGAAAGTTTTCTCACGCCGCGCGATGTTACCTTGTCCGAGAAAGGGAATGCATCTCTCATCGTTCGTAAACCAAAAGAAAAAAAAAAAAAAAAAATAAGAGAAAAGATAACGTATAAAAAAAAAGAAGACAAATGAGAAGGCGAAAACATTTCATCCCACGAAGAGGCGACGTCGTTCGAGGATGTTGATCCGTCGTTGAACTTTCTCGCTCGCAACTATACACGCGCGTACATACATACACATACTCATATACCCACATGCACGCCGCAGGCTCTCTCTTCCTCTTTCTCTCTCCAACTCGCGCACTCACACTCTCACACGCACACATGCACGCAAGAGCTCTCGCGGTCGCGCGTTTCGTTCGCGACCGAGCCCGGGTCACGCAAATTCGAAAAAGAACTAATACCGGGAACAATGATAATGCTATGCGTTGTAATAATATTAATAATAATATTAATTAATAGCGCAATCCTAATAGAATAAGTAAATAACAATAATAATAAATTAGTTCTGTACAGAGTTTTCGCAAATATCGAGCACGATACAATATTAATATCTAAGGACGGGTCGGCGGCGTTCGGGTGAGCCGGCCGACCCCCACAGCATCGCGTTGTTTCTTCTTCTCTCGTGTCGCCTCTCTCGATCAGACCCTTTCGATCGGTCGGTCGATCGAGTGTCTTCGGCTGGTCCTCGCGTGTCGTCCAGCGCAAACCTAAACTGGCCAGCGGCGCGCGTCTCTCTCCTCGATCGTGGATGCACGTACACGTATTTTTCGCGAGAAAGGTTTGTGGTACCGATAAAAAAAGAGAAGGCGGAGGGGGGGAAGGGGTGAGAAAAAAATAAACGATGTACACAGGGCGAGAAGAAGGAAACGAACCGCTCGGGCATCCCAGGACGAAGACACCGCGGCGCGAGAGTGCGGCTGTCGCCCGAAGAAATCGAAGAGGAAACCAAACTGGGTTCGTCGATTCGTACACACACACACACACACACACACACGCACACACACACACACACACACACATACACACATACATACACACGCACGCACACACGCGCAAATGCGCGCTGGGACCACTGAAAGATCCACGAATCGCGCAAGCACACGAACTATCTTCCTCTCTGGGTCTCTCACACTCGCACAGACATGCACACAGGTATACGTCCACTTTCTCTCTCTCTCTCTCTCACTCACATACACACGCACACTCTCTCTCGATAATTTCTAACGGAGTCTACTACAAAGTCCGGCGTCCGACTGCTACTACACTTCCGTCGCGAGCGTCGCCGCCAGCGCGGCGTCATGCCTGTAATGATCGTCTATCACATACACACCGCAACTGTTGTTGTCCGTGACACCGCCGCTTCCTGGTGGACCACCAGCAGCATTAGCAGCAGCAGCAACACTACCACCACCACCACCACCACCACCACCGCCGCCGCCGCTAACGGCTTCCGATATCGTCGTCGGCCTTTTGAGCAACGCGGCCTCCGCGGCGCAACAGACGTCCGGCGTGTTGCCGGTGGAGAACATGGACGACCTCTTGGCACTCTCCAAGACCCCGATGCCGAGGCCCAGGCCGAGACAGTCCTTTTCCTTTTGGAAGAGATGAGCCGACGCTCTGTGCGCGGCCGCCTCCGTGTTCAGCTGCTTCGTCGTCCTCGTGGTCCTGCCGTCCTGCAGCACCGGTTCCGGCTTGTAACCCGAGCACGCGCTGTCGAGCGTCACGTCGGTCTGGAACGATGAGTCGAGGTCGTCTTGCCGCGTCACCGACGCCACGTTGTTCACGCTCTTGTTCGCCGTCCAGGTGTTCTTGATCATGTGCGCGTCACCGGCGCCCAAGGCGCAGACGCTGCCGCTGCCGGCGCCGATGAGGCCGCTGCTGGCAGCGCTGCTGAGGAGGCCGCCGCCGGCGCCGCCGACTACGCCGCCGATGCCGATCGTACTGGCGCTGCGCTTGCTCATGCTGCTGTGCACCGCGTTCCTCTCGTTCTGCAGCCGGGCCTCCTCGTCGGCCTTGGCCTGCTCGCGTTTCCGCCGTCTCTTCATGCACATGACCGCGACGATGGCGACCAGCACGAAGACCGGCACCGCGGTGGAGATGGTCGCGATCATGACTATGTGCTCCGTCGTGAGACCGGCGTTCCTGGCCTCCGCTGTAGCGACGTGCTTCGACAGATTGCCGGACCAGTAGCTGGCGCCCGATGGCGGCACCGCCGGCGACACGACCGAGCCGCCGGCGGTGTTGAAAGACGCCGCTGCTGCGGACGGCAAAACTGCCGACCCGCCGGAGGCGGCGGCGGCGGCAGCGGATGCGGCGGCGGCAGCGGCGGCGGCAGCGGCTGCTGCCGCAGACGCGACACCGGCCTCCTCGTTGCACGTGTCGCCGTACCAGCCGTCCGGGCAGTCGCAGAGGAAACCATTGACGCGGTTCCGACACGTGCCGCCGTTCTGACAAGGCGCGCTCCGGCACTCGTCCACGTCCACGCTGCAGTCCTTGCTGGTGAAGCCGGGCTTGCATACGCAACGGTAATCGTTGGTCCCCGAGATGCACCTGCCGCCGTTCGCGCACGGCTTCGCCAGGCAATAGTCCACCTTGTCCTGGCAGAGCCGCCCGACGTAGCCCGGCACGCACTGACAGCGGAAGCTGTTCACCAGGTCCACGCAGGTGCCGCCGTTGAGGCACGGGTCGCCTTGGCAGTCGTCCACGTTGATCTCGCAGCGCTCGCCGGTAAAACCAGCCGGGCAGGTACACCGAAAGCCGTTCACGTAGTCTGTGCAGGTGCCGCCGTTGGTGCACGGGTTCGGCGCGCACTCGTCGAGCTGCGACTCGCAGTCGTTGCCGGTGTAGCCGGCCGCGCACCGACACACGTAGCCGTGCACAGAGTCGTCCTCGCAGGTGGCGCCGTGATGGCAGGGTGAATCCCGGCAAGATTTCGTCGTGATCTCGCAGTGTCTACCTCGCCAACCGGGCGGACAGGTGCAACGGTAGCCGGTGATGTGATGATGCTGCCTCGAGGAGGAGGAGGAGGAGGAGGAGGATGATTCCAGAGCACTATTGCCAACGTTGCTTCCGGCAGCCGACGACGACGACGACGATGATGACGATGATGACGACGACGACGACGACGACGACGACGACAACGACGACGACGATGACGACGACAACGACGACGACGACGACGACGACGACGGTGACGACGACGATGATGACGTTGACGACAACAACGACGTTGACGAGACACTTCCGTTGGCGTAGCTCCCGGATGATTCCATCGTGCAGGTACCGCCGTTCATGCACGGCTTCGAGTGACAGTCGAAGAGCGGCGTCTGGCAATCGGCGCCGGTAAAACCTGACGGACACGAGCAGGTGTACGAGCCCTGGCCGGTGTTGAAGCAGGTGCCGCCGTTCATGCAGGGCTTGTGATTGGTGCAATAGTTGAGGTCCTGGTTGCAGAACAGTCCGCCCCAGCCCTCGTCGCACTCGCACTCCCAGGGCTTTTGGCAGCTACCGTGAAGGCAGCCCGGGTATCTCACGCACTGATTGCACAATGGACCCTTCCAGCCGTTGTGACATCTGCAACAGGAAGGCGGAACGTGTCCTGCTGAGTGAGACCGGGACACTCGAGATCGCGCGGATAAGAATCGGCCCGGTATCGCCCGGTATACGACTAGGATAGGCACAGGAAAGACAAGCGGACGTAGGACGCGTAGAGGAGATGTGGTGTGTGTGTGTGTGTGTATGTCATGCGCGTTTCTGCGAAGGCTGAGTCATCCATCCGTGGATGATAAATCTGCTTTCTCGCAAGCGATACATTCCATCTGAGCTAAAGACGCGGTTACCAAAGTCGCGCCAAGGGGCTCATCGTTCTCCCTCCCCTGGACGCGCCTGAGACTCCGTTAGGCTTATTGGATCGCTCGCGTCGGTCGTCGCGAGCGAGGTCTCTGGAGCGAAGTTCGCGAGACTTTGTACTTCCATACTCGCTCCCTTGGCCCCTCCGGTCGCTGCGGTCACGAGTCTCGAGGCACGGTTTCACCGTGCCGCGCGCGCGCGCGCGAGACGGAAGGTAGTCGCGGACGAAGCGGGCAGAAGAAGAGGGTCGCGGCCGAATCCCGGTGCAGCGCGAGGAGAGCGGCGGGGAGGAGGGAGGGCGGCGAAGAAGGAGGACAGAGGTCGGCGACGAAGCGTCGAGAGACGCTTCGTGCGGATGTGCGCGATATACACGCAGGAGGAAGACGAGACAGAGAGGGAAGGACGACAAGGCGGCAAGGAGACTTCTCTCGAGCGAGTCGAAGGAAGAAAAGATTCGCGGTCCCTCGCACGCGCGAGGAGGGAGAGGATCGCCGAGAAGGAGGAGGAGGAGGAGGAGGAGGAGAAGAGAGGAAGGGGCAGCGACAGGGAATATCTTAAAGGTGGATAAAGCCGGCGAAGAGAGATGAACGCCGGGCAGGGTGAGAGAGGGTGGCATGCCAGGAGATGAGAAGGATACGCCGCGGTCGACCATTACATGCGGGGGTTACGCTTCGCGGAGGAACGAAGAAGAAGAAGAAGAAGAAGAAGAAGACGAGAGAGAAGAGAAGGGAGGAGAAAGACCGGCGGAGGAAGGGAGTAGGATGAAACGAGAGATGCGGAATGAAAAGAGGATGCTACACGAGGAGTGTGATCGCGCGAGCACGCGCTTGCGTGTGCAAGAGCTTGTACGTGTGCGTAGCATACGAGCGACGAGCATGTGTGAGATATGTACGAATACATGCGAAGAGCGGCTTCGCCGTAGCGCGCGGGGTGCACATGAGTGCGCTGAGAGAAGGAGACAGATGTAGAGAGAGAGAGAGAGAGAGAGAGAGAGAGAGAGAGAGAGAGAGAGAGAGAGAGAGAGAGAGAGAGAGAGAGAGAGAGAGAGAGAGAGGGTAAGGGGAGGCGAGAGGGGGACCGAAGGTGGTGCGAGCCTGAAGAACCAGCCACTGTAGAGGTGGGGAAAAGGGGGGGTCTGGGATGCGAAGGAGCGAGCGAGCGAGCGAGCGAGAGAGAGAGAGAGAGAGAGAGAGAGAGAGAGAGAGAGAGAGAGAGACACGCGGGACCAGCGTAGACTGCGGCAAGAGAAAGAGAAAGAGAAGGAGAAGAGGGAGCCGAGAGGAGAGAAGGAGGAGGTAGAATTCTGGTTGAGCGGTGGGGGATGAGTCGTCGAGTAGTGTGTTCCCACGGTTCGAGCCTCGGCACAGCCGTTCAGTATGCGGGTCAAGGAAAGGTTACGCTCCTCTGTGTGCGCGCTCGCGCGTCTCGCGCTGCCCACCACTACCGACACACACCGTACCGTCACCACTACTCGCGCATCAGCGTGCGCGTATACGTCCAGTCTGTACGTCGTCCTCTCTCGTCTCGTGGCTCTATCATGGTCTAACAGAGATAGAGAAAGAGGGTGGCTCGAAAGTGCGCAGGAGAGGAGGAGGGCGAAGGAGATAGGTAGAGAGAAAGACGAATTCGGGAAGAACGAGAAGCGAAATACGCGGAGGAGGAGGAGCTGGTGATGGTGGTGGAGCGGGACGAGGGGGAAACTGCAGCAAACGTCGACGTCGCATGACTATACCATCAAGTATAGAGCGAGCGCGAGAAACGAGGAGAAGAAGAGAGAGATTCGCCGGAGACTTGGCGAGATATACAGCGCGGGAGCGAGAAAGGAAAGAGAGAAAGAGAGAAAGAGCGAGAAGCTGCGGGAGACACACCGGACACAGAGTGGTGAGCGGCGGGCCAGGAGGAGGAGAAGAAATGAGAAACAGGACGAAGGGGGTTGAAAGCGGGCAAAGTGTGCCGCCGTGCGGATTATTCGTGGTCGCTCGCTGGCGAAGACGAAGACACGAGGTGGGTCTTCAAGTAGTAACGACGAGTACAGCCGAAGAGCGCGGCGAGAGCGGTCCACGTGATCCCGCATTCTACTTTGTGGCTAGGCCGCGGAACAGAATCGCGACTGTGCCATAATTACCGCCGGGGGATAGGTCATGCACCGGCGAGATGGAGAGAGAGAGAGAGAGAGAGAGAGAGAGAGAGAGAGAGAGAGAGAGAGAGAGAGAGAGAAGGGTGGGAGTGGGAGGAGGTGGACTAGGACTGGCTCCGGTCGGCCGTTATGGAAATCACGCGCGCGATATGCGCGGGCTCGGCTAAATGTCTCTCTCGCTGCACGAGAGACGAGGGAGGATTGATCTTTCTCTCTTTCTCTTTCTCTCTCTCTCTCTCTCGTCTCCTCTCTTCGCGACTCTCGCCGAAGCCGTCGCATCGATGCGAGGATATCGAAGAGAGACGTGCGTTCTTTGACCTTTAGCGCGAGCGCGTTATTACGCGGCCATTTAAACGACACGCCAGCGAAACGATATCAGATGCGCTGGAAATTCCAAACGTCCCTCGGGCGAGCGCGAATCGTTCCCACAATTTGTCCACGAGAATTCACATCATTACATTACATCGGATCGTCGCGCGTAAATTCCAAAGCGAAGAGAAACGTGTGTCGCAACTTGCACAGCATCCGGATGGCCAAAATTCGCAGCGATTCCCAGTCAATCAACGCGACGCGCACGACGAGATTTCACGTGGAGAGACATTTCGAGTCAGTCTAGGCTCGAGAGTGTAACACCACGTCATTGAGATGAAACGTCACCGAGAGACGAGAAGCAGCGGATAGCAGCGCGGCGCTCTCGCAAGCAGAAGACGCGCCGCGCGCCGTTCGTCGGCCGTGCGCGATCCGTGCTGCATCGTCATCGGTATTCAGGCTCCGCACGCACGCACGCACGCACGCACGCACGCACGCACACGCGTATGGGCACCGAAATTTCAATGGGGTGCCCAACGGCTGTGATTCTTGCACGTATCACGAGCGGCTCCGATATATCCCACGAGTTCGTTCGTTCGTTCGTTCGTCCGGCCGGCCGGCCGGTTGGCCGCCTGTCGCTTCGAAACGATCGTTATCGTCCTTTCCGAGTATGTACGCGAATACACGCCATACGACTGAAAACGAGCTATCGTAATTCTATCCCCGCAATCTACGTAATTATCTACGATCGCAAGGCGTGTAAAGCCCGCGCGCGTCTCTCCGGCTATTGTCGCGTGCACGTGGTTAACGCGCGCGCGCGATCAAGGTTAACGCCGATCAAATTCCGTTACACTCGTGAAATCGGATTTTTATTCGACCGCGTTGGCGAGTCGCTGATAACGAAGATAACGCGCGAGCGAATCGCGCTGCGCGCAATGTCATCGCGGCGCGCGTGTATCGTGTGACGATGCAGCGTCGTAATGCGATTGCGATCGATAATTTGTGATGATATCGGATAATAATGTCGGGAAAATTCTCGCAGACGCGAGCTGCGCGCGTATATAATTGTACCGTAAACACGGAGGAACCGCACGTTCTCACGCGGAGTCCGGTGAATTGACATAAATGCAAGAATGCGGAAAGATACGAATTTTTCTCGCAGACGCTGTCTTGGAGCTGTAGGCGGGGGCGGAGGGTGTAGAACTGATAGAATTGAGAATTGATGAACGCTCGAGAGGAGCGTTATGCGTTCGCCGCGCGCTGCGTGCGTGCAGGTCGCGGCGCGAGAAACTCTCTCGATATTCATGGCGGCGAGGCAGCGCGCTTTGTGCAGTGCGGGAAAATCCGCACCGTTCCTCCTTTCACGATCACGTGCAACTTTGAACCTCGCGACGGCACCGGCCGTTCAACGCGCGCTGCGGGAGTACGACTCGTGCAAACAAATGCAACAAGAACAAGGCACGAGAGAACGGAAACGTCCCAAATATTCTTCGCTCGGCGCCGAAAATTCCATCGCGCGATGTCGAGGAGAAAAATTGCCTGGATGCGCAGAAATATGAAACTCGATCCAATTCGATCGAAAACTGCACTCGAAAAAGAAAGAAACAGAAGGAAGACACACTCGGGGTTGCTCGCGAGTAATTCGTCGATCAGACTCAACGGGGAGACGCGCAAACGCTCGCGGTATTTTGCACCCCGAAATCGGCAAACAGTCGGAGACTCAGTCAGCGGCAGAGAGACGAGAGACTCTGAGCGACGAGCCCCGCGAGGAGCGCGGGGACGAGAAAACGAGCGCGCGCGCGAATAGGCACGACAGGCGAACTCGTGGCTGCGGCTAACGGGACAATTAACCCCGGTCGTAAAGTAATTAGATGATCGAGTTAACTCCAAACCCTCGGGTTAACGCCGACCGTAGAGGCCGAGATTCGAGGCCGACGTGCCGGGGAGCGCTGCGCCGATGTCTCGAAACGCGTGACATCCTGATGAACACTCGCGAAAGATGCCATGAATATCCTGGACGATACGCCAGGATAATCCAAAGTGCGTTTGCAAGCGACGCGTTTCCCGCTACGAAACTTTCGGTCGCGGAGAGAAAAACCCGAGAGGCCCCCCCAAAAAGTCCGTCGGAGAGGAGCCCGCGAGCGAGATAGGGATTGAACTGCCGAGATACTCCCGCGCGAGATTTACGACGCACGTAGATATCGAAGCGAAGCGAGCTTACGCCGAGCGATTCTCGCGAGTGGAAGCCGGGGAGCCCGGACTTTTCGCCAAGCGACGAATTAAGCCGGCAAGTTCAACGACACGGCGCGCAGACGAGCGGTGAGAGAGAGAGAGAGAGAGGGGAGGGAGAGGAGGAAAGCGGCGGAAAAGGAGATTGGTCGAGGAGGAGGGTACGGGAGGGTGGTGAGAGAGAGAGAGAGAGAGAGAGAGAGAGAGAGAGAGAGAGAGAGTCGAAGGAGGAAAGGGCAGGAAAGGATCGGGAACTGCCTCGTTGCGACGGGAAGAGCCAGCCGGAGTAACTTGGAGTTCCTCCGCTTGGTCCTTGCCGAGCGACGCGCGCGACGAGGATGATGCGCGGAATCCTCCGGCGCCTTGCGAATTGGCGGACTCGCGACGCGAACGTAACGGAAGCGCGCGGAAGAACGTCGAACCGGTAAATCAGCGGCGCTGCGCGCCGCGCATGGCCGGCGGAATCGTGACGGCCGCGTGTTCCTCGAAAGCGCCGCGCACGATAATTCACGACAGATATGCACGTAATTATTATCGCGCGTACACGCGTACGCGCCGCGCACCGCGGCGCATATACAAGTGGATGCACCGGCTCGAGGCTCAGGAATTTAGTTGGCGGTTACACGGGGCAGAGGCAAGGCGGCCGCGCGCGCGCGTGTCTGTGTGTAGGTGAGACGCGCGCACCGTTTGCATATACATGTACATGTGTATGTGTGTCTATATATTACAAGGATATCCAAGTGTGTGTACTCACAGGCATTCGTTGGGTTGCTGGCAGTGTCCGTGCTGTTCGTCGCATCCGGGCAGGCAGCGGGCTGAAATGAGTAAGAAAAAATCCAAGAGGTTAAGGCAACTCTCGGCGAGAGGTCGATCGCGTCCCTCACGACTGCACGAGCGGCGCAATACGGTACGATACGTCCGACGTATGCACGCACACACACACACACACACACCGACTCGGCGCGAACGCGAACGCATCTACGGTAGTTGGTGCAGTCTCTTTATTATTTCAATGCGCGACTTTGTGCCATTCTTTCCTCTCGTTATCGCCGTGCTGCGCGATTGTCTGCAAGGGGCTCCGCGTAATTGGAGGAATATTCGCGACCGGTGAATCAATGAGAGAGAAATCGAGAGAGACTGCTGTGTGCGAGCTTTGTTCCTTTTCAATTTTCTTCATCAGCTTTATCCATCACTACTGCGTCGTTTGCACTCCTCGTCGCTGGGCGCAGCTTGATCTCCCCTTGAGCAAGCTCCCCCCCCCCGTCGTCGTCGTCGGCGAGTCTGGCTTTAACACGACGCCACGATAATATTAATTAATACCGGAAACGGAAGGGTGTTAACAGGTGGCGCGCGGTAGTCGCGGCGAAAGGTGCGCGCTTCGTTTCCTCTTATCGAACGACCGTCGTCACACATCGAGCGCCCGGTCGAATTCGAGGAGGAGCGTAACGACCGAGGAGGCCTCGGCGCCCGGATGCGGGTCACTTAAAAGAGCGAGCGAGCGAGCGATCCGGAAGAGCAGGGGGGAGGAGGGGGAGGAGGAGGTGGGTCTCGTCGGCAGAGAGGTGCGCGTCGTCGCACGTGGGGGAAACTCGGTAACGTCTCGCAGCGCAGCGTATCGCGCCAATGTCGAAGGCGCGCGGCGAGTCCTGTAGGTGCGAGACAACACGACGGACCGCGTGTGCGCCGGGGCTCATGGCTGCCGGCCAACCGAGGGCCGCCCTCGCGGATATTTGCGGACTGGATTGCACACACGGCGAGCCGCCGCGCCGCGACACGTGACACAATTTCATTGCCCTTGCGGCGATCTATCGCTGGCGCACGCACGCACGCACGCACGCACGCACGCACGTGCAAGTATGCGAGGAATCGCGGCTGTCCGTTGGGATTCCGTCCTCCCCAGCGCGCGTTTTTCATCCAGGGGGAGCGAGAGACGAGGGGTCGCGCGAATATCGACTCCTCCTCCGCTCGCGACCGCTAGAACCGGCGACGCGCGAATTTCGAGCGACACGCGAAACCACCGACGCGCGGCAGGAAAGGAAAGCCGGAAAGCTGGGAAGCGCGGAAAGCAGCGAGCAGCTCGCTGGCGATGAATGAAGAGGGCTTGAGAACGACCACGGCATGGTCGCGGCGGTTCAACGTTTCCGCGCGCGCGGCCCAGGCGGGCAGGCAGGCAGGCAGGCACGACGAGGACGCGCGAGGGCAAGGCACACTCGCGAGGCAGGGCCGGTGAGGGCCAGCGAGGGCCGCGTGACCTTGGCATCGAGCGCAACGGCCCGACTCTCTTACTCGCCGGCCGGACTTTGGCGTGGCGTGGCGTAGCATAGCGTGGTATAGCGTCGTGGCATGGCATGGCACGGCACGGTATGCCATGGCATGGCCTGGCGTGGCGTAGCGTGGCATGGCATGGCATGGCACGGCGAGACTCGGCGCGGCATCGCCGCGCGCTAAGGAGTATGGTATTTATAGAGCGAAGAGAGCGAGATACGACCCCTCGGCCCCGCCGCCGCCGCGGTCTCTTCTTCTTCTTCTTCGGGTCCCCTTCGCGCCGCCGCCGCCGCCGCCAGTGTATCGCCGACGAACGACCGAATCGCAAAGATTCCACGACCCTCCGCCGCCTCCTTCCCTCTCGCTCGCTCGCTCGCTCGTTCGCTCACCCGATCTATCTGCTACGCTCTTTGGATATACCATTTTTTCTTTGTCGGGGGAGGAAAGGGAAGGGGACAGAGAGGAGGAGGAAGGAGATGGCGGAGGAGGAGGAGGAGGAGGAGGAGAAGAAGGAGAAGAAGAAGAAGAAGAAAGGTCCTAAGTAGCGAGGACGACGGCAAGGAGGAACGCGTTGGAACGAGTGACTAAACAAATCTCGTAAGCCGCGACAAATCTTGCCCCTGGAGGATTATTTACGGCCGATCCGCGAGCGCGCGATTTTTCGAGATAAATCCTCGCGAGGTGGGCTATAAATCCGACGGGTGTCCGTTCTCTCCCAGCCTCCTGCTATCGCGAAACTCTGGGCCCTTCAAGTCGGTCGGAGCGGTCTGAACAGCCCAGAAGAAGACGTCCAGAGTCTCTCTTTGTCTTTCTCTCTCTCTCTCTCTCTCTCTCTCTCTTCTGAATGCGTCGTCCGACGCGCGGGGGTGATGGCGTTCGTTCCTCAACAATTGGACATGACATTCAGGCATGTCGCGACGTTACGAGCGAGTTGAGGATAATGGATATTTTCTCGAATTCTTCGAACGAAGAGGGAAAACGGCTGCGCAAATTGTATCTAGCGGCCCACGATGGAAACTAATTATCGGGCTTGCGATAATGGAACACGAAGCAACAATAATTACACAATTTCGCTGCTCGGCGGTTATGCATTCTGCGCGTAATTGAGATTATGATGAATTTTAATTAGTCCATATTAGCCACCCCGTCCTCATTTCCACGTCATCAGCTCGGGCCAGTGATCAATATTTCGCAGTCGCTTATTAATTCGATGCAATGCGGCTCCGTTCTCGCTGATGCTACAAACGCCTCCCCGCGCGCCACGCTGCAAGAGCGTGACTCGCTCTCTCTCTCGCTCTCTCTCTCTCTCGCTCTCTCTCTCTCTCTCTCTCTCTCTCTCTCTCTCTCTCTCTCTCTCTCTCTCTTTCACCTGTATAGAAAGCTCGAAATTGATTGAGTGGTGTCCGTGACGCAATCTCTCCGGAAGCAGTCGTGAAATCGCGGACAAGCGGACGAGTCGCGTCTTTGTGCGGCGCAGGGTAAAGCTCGTAAAGCGGCCGCAAGTGATGCTCCTCTACGAGCCTGCCGACTTGTGCAGGGTGCACCGGTTCCCTTTAAATGCCCGACTTCGACCAGAAAGATAGACGAAGACAGATGGATAGACCGAGACTGTGGGACGGAGAAAGAGAGACAGGCGCGCACACACACACACACACACACACATAAACACACAGTCAGCCGGTGTGTGTTGCACCCCGAATTCCCCCGCGACTCCCTCCGCAACGTACTTATTGATTTTCTATCCCCGGCCAACCGATTTCCCTTCGTCGAAACGGTCGCGAGCGAGGCACCGGCCCCCGGTGAAGCGGGGCACACACACCACCGCTGCGGCCACCCCCTTTCGCCTCCTGGCGCTCGCTCGGAAAGGCGAAAGGCTCGGGAGGGAGAGAAAAAGGGAGCAATTCTCGCGGAGCAATTCGCGGTATATATACCTGCAGTAAAGCAACGCGCAGCGTGTAAAAGTGATAGGAACGAATTAGTGACAAGTCCGTGGTGGGAACTTGGTCGACCGGCCGGAAGCATCGGGACGACAGTAAGACACGTCCTCCTCTCCCATTCATTCTCTCTCTCACCAGGAGACGAGCCCGTACGAAAAGAAGGAACGACGATCCCTGGGAGTTTACACGACAACTTGATCGCTCATTTAAGAGCTTGCGACAGCTTTTTCTCATGCTACGTCAGCTCGACTCGACAATGCGACTTATTGTCGAATTTCCAGCGAGCGTCCAACACACACCAAGGCTGAGAGAGAGAGAAAGAGAGAGAGAGAGAGAGAGAGAGAGAGACTACTCCTCTGTCACAGGCAACGTTTTCATTCATAAAATTATTATCCCTCGAGCGTGCAGTTCCGCCGGTTTTTTTCTTTTCTCAAACCAAACTCACCAACCAGCACGTGCTGGTGTCGTTTGGTTAAGCCGGGTCCAGTCTCCGGCTAAACATTTGCAAAACAGACCGACGTGATCTGCCTGCGAACGAGAAAACTTGGTCAGGTAGCGAGACGTAAAACAGAGGAACGAAAGACAAGCGTCGGGAAAATGTGGTCGTCGATATGGAGACATAATAGAGAGAGAGAGAGAGAGAGAGAGAGAGAGAGAGAGGGGGGGAGTGGAGGAGCAGCCAGGATGGAAGTGGACTGTGAACGAGCCCGCGAGTCCGGCGCAGCTGTTGGTTAAAGCACCGACCTCTCGCTCGGTGCAGCTGTCAGGGCCCGACGACTCTCGCACGGGCCTCCTTCTCTTTCGGGCCGCCTCGTCGTGCCGTTGCAGCTGCTCTGTCTCTCTCTTTCTCTCTCTCTCTCTCTCTCTCTTTCTCTCTCTCCGTCCCTCTTTCACCCCGCGCGCAACCCCTACATATAACACACACCGTCCCCGGGCGGTGCACCCCCGAAAGAGAGCGGCGACTGCCTGCAGCGCGGCCACCTATTCTTAACCCACCGACCTGGCCAACCCTTCCGCGACGGGGTTAACGAGGGAGAGAGAGAGAGTTAACCCTCGTTGCTCGCGCGTCGCGTGATCGAAGCGACTGCGCGACGAGAGCGAGAGTGCGCGACAGCGCGACTGCTGCTCGATGACGCGATCTCGCTTTTCTTTCTTTCTTCAGGGCGGAAATCTGGCCGAGAAGGCGAGGAGAAGTGACACGCGAGCGACAGGTCTCCGCCTTGAAGAGAGGGAAAAGGAGAGGCCAAGATAGGAAATTGCGATAATTTGACGACGACACGACGATTGCACGACACTTGAGGACTCCCGAGGAAAAACCGAGGAAAAACGCTTTCACGGTTGCCTCTTAGGAAGGATGTTTTTTCTCTCTTGATGTCATCATTGATGTCATACGCGACTGAGAAGACGAAAACAACAGCGACGACTAGGGCTGCCAAATCCAAAAGTTAAAATTATCGGACACTGCTTCTTTGGTAATAACAAACCCAAACCGGATAGAAATAATAATCATAACGTTACATTACAATACAAAATACGACAAGAATTTATTTACAATATTAATTTCTATAAACAATTCTATAAACAAAATTTGATTGAATAATAAAAATAATAATAAACTATTACTTTTTTAATATATACGGAATGATGGATCGGTAGATCATCTACTAGAGATGGCTTCTCGTGGCGCTCGATCGTTTGTAGGCGCTTGAAACGAAGAAACGTTGCTAAAATCTGAACTCTCATTCCATTGATTGGATATAACTCAGAAACCGGACATATGACGTCCGGTTTGACTTATCAACCGGACACTGGACAAGACTTCTGAAAACCTGACGGTCCAGGTCAAGACCGGGCAGTTGGCAACCCTAGCGACGCGACTCAGCGCGATGCAGCGCGAGAGAGGGAGAGATCTCGATCTCTCGGTAGAGACAAACAGCGCGCGCCGCGATTTTGGAGGATGTAACGCGGAAGCGGCGAAGTAGAGCGCGAGATACATCTGGCGGGTGTTTCTGTTTAAACAGATTCCGAAGGAGTGAAAGTCCTTTTGTTCTCGCGAGACTCGTTCCGAAGGAGAGTCCGCCGCGCTCGTGATTTAAATCGTCGCGATTTAAATCGTTTCCCGACGTTTTGCGGCCGACTGCTTCCCGAGCGAGCGCGACAGTGATTTTGCCACTTCTCATTAGACTGCATAATCGTATGGAATATTGCGGCAACGGTCGGCCGGCCGGCAGCCTTTTTTCGCCTCTGTCGCGCTACGACAGGGAAACGCGCGCGTTTCGAAAGCATTTTTATCTTCGCTCTTACGTCACCGAGAGGGAACGTGATGTGAATCGGGAACGAAATATTTCTAGTTTCCCCCGTCGCAAATTTTTGCATCAAATCTGGCTGGCCGCGCTCTCCCGAACGCCAAGAATATAAAATTGCAGACGATTACGGGCTTTTTCTTTTCTTATAAACATATATCGAGGTATCAACCTTGTTTCGCTTGCGAAGGCCTTTTCGAAATACCTGTTTTATTTACTCCCGGTGGCTGCTGTGGAAAATGATACCTTGAATAACGTGGGAAGCTCGTGAATACAAGATGCTCGGAGTTGGTCCCCTTTGTATGCGTGCCGGGAAAAAGTCGGGAAATGCGCGGAGGGCTTCTCAGCCCTCTCAGGGTGTGAAAAAGTCGATCCGGCCGACCTTGCGTGCGGGACGACAAAGAGATCGATGAGTTTGGCTTACGGTGCAAAATCGTTCCTCACGCCGGATGAAGCTGAAAGTCGCCAGCGTGCGCGCTCGCTTCGCGAGCGATTCGCCGGATGACGAGGAACGGCCACGAAATGGAATAGCCTCCATTAGTAATCGACGCGCGAACTTTGTCGATCGGCGTTCGCGAGTCGACGTCGACGAGAGGAGAGTGCAACGACCGGGAGAGCGGATGGGCCCCACACGGCGAGACTTGGCCTGCCTGCCTGCCTGCCCGCGATCGACCGATCGATCGATCGAAGCGGCGAGCGGAAAGCCTGGAATTCGGGATTCGCGAGAAGCTCGCGGCCGAAGGCCGAAACACGCGCTCGTCGCCGATAAGTAATCGAATCACGCTCGCGCGACTTTCGTTTATCGCAGGACACTCGAAGGTCAGCCTGCCGCTTTAAACGGATCCGCGATCCTTTTTTTGGCTGCAGGCAAAGAAACGCCGCTGTTATTACGGGCGAAACGAAACAATGGTACAGGTCTTGCGACGCGACGCGAGAAACAGGCGAGATCTCGCCTTAGACACTACATTCCGATCGCTTGTAATTATTTTGCATTAATAATAATAATAATAATAGTAATAATAAAGTCAGGTCAGCCGAGAAGAGTCCCCTTCGCGTCGTCGTTCGTCGCGAAATCCCGCGGCTCAGCGTCGATCGCAGTGTCGTTTTACCGAGCCATGTCGCTTCCTTCCCCGCCGTGGGATGGCACCGAAGCTATTGTGCCGTCAGACAATTCGGCAATCTGGCGGGTCCGACTTCCCCAAAGAACTAAGGGAACGAGGCCGCTTCCTCCCGCGAGCCAAACCACCTTTTGTACGTACAGGTACAACGCGCGCGCGCAGTCGGGCACTACCAGGTGTCACGTACCTGTACATATCCAAGAGGCCAGAAGCTTCGGCAACTGTGACTTCGCCAACAGGCACGACGACCATCCTGTTGGGTTGGCACAGAGCCTCGATCGAGCCGAGAGAGAGAGAGAGAGAGAGAGAGAGAGGGAGGGAGGGAGGGGAGAAGAGAGAGAGAGAGAGAGAGCCACACACGAAGGCAGATTTCGCCCGGTCGACTCCTTCGCTCACACAGTCTCGGATCATTACACGTGCACACAGATTAGTTCTCGGTCGGCTCTCGCAGGTACGCGAGAGAGTGAAAAGGAGAGGGGTGCTGCTGCAGTCGGGTCGTGAGGAGAGAACGGGAGGGACAGAGAGGGGGGGGAGAGAGAGAGAGAGAGAGAGAGAGAGAGAGAGAGAGAGAGAGAGAGAGAGAGAGAGAGAGAGAGAGAGAGAGAGAGAGAGAAGGAAGGAGATATTCGCGCACACGCGCGAACCAAGCGTGGGAAGCTGCTGCACGCTTCGAGTCTCGGCTGCATCGCACGCTGCAGCAACGGGCCTCTCCTTCGCCGGCGAGACGCCGGCTCTCCGACGGAGCGGAGGAGGTGAACGCGGCAGGATAGCGTGGCGAGAGAGCGAGAGCGAGAGCGAGAGAGAGAGACAGAGAGGAGAGAAGAGGAACGTTCGACGGCGCGGCGATTCGCGGGAGTATCGTCGTTTACCGAGGTAGCGTGCATATTCGACGTCGATAGGAATCGTGGAAGGCAACGCGCGGCTTGCTGCTGCCTGTTAATAACCGCGAAAGACCGCGCCAGCGCCGACTTGCACACACGGGATCGGAGCCGAATCGAGAGAGAGAGAGAGAGAGAGAGAGAGAGAGAGAGAGAGAGAGACCTCGCTGGATAATCGGCGATCTCGCGGCGCGAACGTACGAGTACGAGCGATGCTGACGGTGCCACCTTATTTTATGTGTCACCGACAAATCGCCGCTTTATCGCGCATTGTGATCGGTGTCGGTGAAAGAGCAGCAAGTACTGGATGTCTCGGTTAATCTTCCAGATTGACGATGAGAATGGATCGCCTCTAGAGATTATTCCGGAAGAAAAAAAAGAGAAAAAAAACAAGAAACCCGAGACACCCGACATTTTTCTTGCCAATTTTTTCCTCGCAATCTTTGCACATACTCGATATTTCGGAGGATTCGCAATCTTTGCACATACTCGATATTTCGCGGTTCGGAGGAACGCCCGACTTCTCTTGCTTTCCGGACCCGAGAGAGACTCTTTCAAAGTCTTGTCTCGCTGCTGCTGTCTCTGGAGAAACGAATTGGAAATGTTGACGAAATGAATGTTCACGCGGCTCGGACAGCCAATCTGGAAAGCGAGTCGCAAACCTCTCCTCCTTTCTCCTCCTTGCCCCTTTCCGTCGTGTCGCGTCGCATCGTCGTCGTCACACAGCAGTCGCTAATTATCCACAAACGTTCTTCTTTACGGCTTGTCAAGCGATCTCGCGGCAAGTGCAGTCGCGGCAAGTTCTACGTGTGCCATGAAGAAACTTACGGGTGTTGCAGTAGTCGCCCTTCCAGCCGGTGAGACAGACGCGCTCGCCGATCGGGCTGCAGCTGTAGTGGCCGAAGCTGTCGTCCCGCGGCCGGCACAAGTTCTCGCAGCCCTTGCCGTAGTAGTGCGCCACGCACCTCACCCGGTACTCGTACTCCATCCGCGCGTGGGCACTCCTGTATTCGTCCACGGTCCAATCCTGCCCGACGTCCAGCCATTTCTGGGTGGTCAGCCTGCTGATCAGCACTTTCTCTGAAAGCACACACAACGCGCAACGGCGCGTGATGAGCGACGAGTGTTCGCGACGGTGTCCTCGACCACTCGAGGAACTCCTCTCTCCCGGAATTCTCTCTCTTTGACAGTCCCTCCTTCTCCCTTTGTCCGTCCGTCAGGACCTGAGCGCGCGATGTCTCGCAAGGATTTGCAACCCGAAGAAACAGGAATAGGACGACGCCCTATATAGGCAGAGGCGGCAAAAGTCAGCGCGTGACACACATACATATATATATATATATATATATATATGCGTCTAGATACTGCGCGCGGAGATTGCGTTTCGTCGCGATTTCGCAGGCGCAGTCGCGGTTGGAGCGGCGACCACGTTATTATCGTCGAATTAACGGTACGCCCGCGGCGGGCAACAATGAGACGCGACGTCAAAAGTAATTAGCCACGTTCAACAGCTCGGCGGAGCAACGAGATCGCTACACCGCTGCACCCAATGATGCGATCCAAGTGCATCGGCCTCCGAAGAGAGCAAGAGGCGCAGAAGGAGAGACGGAGATGGAGAGAGAGAAAGAGAGAGAGAGAGAGAGCGGGAGGGTAGACCGGACGTTCGTCCGCTATTGCTACTCTGTCGGCGGCACGCATCCGGCACAAAGAGAGAGTAAGCGTATAACCACGTTGCGGCTCTGGGAAAGAGGCGTCCTTCCTCCTCTCTCTTCCTCTCCCCTTTTTCGTCTTCGCCTGGCTCGTCCGGTGTCTACTGGTTTTCGTGTAAACGAACGAACGGACGGGCGGACGGGCGGGCGAGCGAGCGAGCGAGCGAGCGGAGGAACTATACGCCTTCCTATACCGGGTCGCATTATCGTAATAGCCCGGCAGATTAGGACTCGGGGCTGCGCGCGCGCGCGCGATCAGGTGCCCTACCGAAGGGAACCTGCATCTCACGGCACCGGTTTTCGGTGCACGCGCGTGTCCGCGCGTCGGACCGGTAGCGTACCCGCTCCGGTCCGGCCTGGCCTGGCCTGGTCCGGTCCGGTCTGGCTCGGTCCATCGAGATCGGTTGCGTGCGGTAAGGTCAGTAGCGTAGCAGTGATGAGAGACGCGCGGCTTGTCCGATGCATCTCGACGACGATGACGGATATCGTTCGGAGATTATCGATGACGAAAGAGACGAGGGAGAGAGAGAGAGAGAGAGAGAGAGAGAGAGAGAGAGAGAGAGAGAGAGAGAGAGAGAGAGAGAGAGAGCGACGGTAAGTCGAATAATGGGCAACGCGTGTTTCTTTTGCTGCAGACAATTTCCCACGGTGTCGTACCACTTTTCATTTTTATTTACGGAGGGGCTATGATCGATTAGTCTGGGAGATTATCATCGACTGACTGGCGCGACTGGAACGCGTGAAGGGGACTCTTGATAAGTGAGAAAGTTCCTTTCCCGCTGATAAAGCGCACTTGTTTCTCCTTTTCCACCTCGTGCGTCGTCGGTAGGCTTCAATCGGATGATTGTAAATCAGAGATTACGTGTAAACGATCACGCGTGAGAATAGCGCGTAGCGTCGGGAGAAGTAAAGGCGGAAATTGCTCGCGATTTGAATTCAGATTCTAAGATTCACGCTGATATCGGCGAAACGATCGTGATCTCGGATATGTGTAACCGGCTCGGTTACGAAAATACTCGCTTATCGCGCATCGTTGTAATTCCCGTGGGCGGCCGAGAAGCGCTCCAGGGAATTCCGTAACACGAAGACACTCGTTATCGACACCTCCCCCCCCCGCCCCTCTGTCACCCGATAACGCACCGCCGATCTACTCGCCGCCTGCGGAAGGAACCACTTCGGTTCCACGCCACTGTACGCGTTCGCGCTCCGTGTGCACCGGCGCGGCGTCGAGGAGGAAGAACGAGCGGCCGAAAGAGCGAGCGAGGAAAAGAAAGAGAGCGGGGAACAAAAGGACGAAGGTTTTCGCCGATGGCGTGCCCGAGGATACTTAAGGAGGGAGCCAGACCAGCCTCTTCCCAGAAGGGAAGTGGCGTTTCGCTGTCGGCGAAACGGGAGTCGAGAAGGAGAGACAGAGAGAAGGAGAGAGAGAGAGAGAGAGAGAGAGAGAGAGAGAGAGAGAGAGAGAGAGAGAGAGAGAGAGAGAGAGAGAGAGAGAGAGTTGTATGCACATATACACGCGCGTATACATATATGCGTGTGTATGCATGAATATATAAAAGAGAGAGAGAGAGAGAAAGAGAAAAAGAGGGGGTTTACCGGCCTATCTTTCCAGGTGATGCTGTTACGAGTTCCGAAAACGCCGATCTTCGCACGCTACGAGCGGATAAGCGCGCGCACACACGCTCGACCCCCGAGAGCACGTTCCTCGCGAGCTGCCACGGCGGTATCGGAAATCGATCCGGTGATCGATCGCCGTTGCGTAGCCTCGCCGGAAACGACGTCGTTGTTCCGGGCGCGCTCCTCCTCCGGCGCTCGAAGCTCCAGGTAAAAAACGCCATACGGTGGCGACGTAAAAATTGAAAAATAAAAAAAAAAAGAAAAAAACACAAGGAGAGAGAAAATCTATGGGACGAACAGAGCAAAGCAATGTGTTGTAGTACAGGGGAGAGAAGAAACGCGAGAAACTAATCTGCATTCACGTTCGCCGCGCGCGCCTCACCGCGCCGGCGACGTATCGGCTGCGCCGCGGCGGCAATTTCCTGCTGCCGTTTCCCCCGGAAACGTATCAGGACGGACGTTAGCCGTCGCGGGAGGAGATCGCGGCTTATTTCCACTTGACCACGGTCCGCCCGCGTATACACACACTCGGTAAACAGCCGGCGTGCTCGAGGCCAGACCGATTCAAGGTATTCATTAACGACGCGCAGCGCCGGCGCAGACATTTTCTATTGTTCATTCAGAAACGAGCGGCTGCCGAAGAAGGATAGCCACGAGGAGAGACAGAGAGAGAGAGAGAGAGAGAGAGAGAGAGAGGGGGGGGGGTGAGAAGGTGGAGGAAACTGGCAGGTAGCCAGCGGCGGCGTTGTTGCCGCCGCTGCTCGTCTCGGGCGCCGCCGTGTTTCTCGCTCGTGAAAAAAACGGCGCGTCGATTATTTAGCGAAATGGATCGTAAAGTACGAGCCCGACGAATTAACTTCCGAAATGCCGGGCGCTCGGCCGAGCTCGCCTCCCCGCTTGACATTCGGCCGCGCAGGCGGTAAAACGGGAATAACCCCGCTGCCGCGCGCCGGTGGCGACCCTGACCTAACGTAGCGTCCTCGCGTTTAATACGTACTCGATTGATATATAGCGATTGCCGTTTTTAATTGGACGCGTTATCGTCAATTAATGAGCGAGATACGAACTTCCCAGCGGGAGGTGCACGCGAGTCGCGTCGCGCGGGACGCGCGCTTCCAATTATCTCCGTATGCGTATTAAACGCACATTTCTGACGCTCCAATTTCGCGGCCTAATTTCCGTGAGATTTCGAGAAAGTGGATCAGGTCGTCGCGTCGTTCAGCTCCTCAATCGCGCAAAAGTAAAACGCGTCTGCCTTATCTCTGTCCGTTTTCTTTTTTTTTCCTTCACTCATCCCGTTCCTCTCCCTCCTCTCGCTCGCGCGCGCGCGCGGTTGACACGTGGAGCGCGCAGGCCAATTATCGCCGTCGTTATTATCATGCGAAAGGAGGCAGGTGTGCTCTTCCGAGTGCATCGGGCGATGCGAGCGCAGCGAGTCGCGGTGCAACGGTGCTCCGTTCGTGAGAGAGAAGAGCGACTGAGAGGGAGGGAGGGGAGGACGAGGAGGAGAAAGAGAGGGACCGGGGAAAAGCGATTGACAATCGACGGTGACGTAAGCCGCGAACGTACGGACGCGACACCGCTGTGAGACCCCTTTCGCTCGCGCGCGCATGTGTGTGTGTGTGTGTGTGTGTGTGTGTGTGTGGTGTGTGTGTGTGTGTGTGTGTGTGTGTGCGTGCGTGCGTGCGTGCGTGCGTGCGTGCCGCGTCGCAGAGAGCCAACGCGCGCTCCGTATCAATTGGGAATGAATAAAGAGCCACCCGCGAGCCGGAGAGCGCTGCGGCCCGCATTTACTCGCGCAGCGGAAAAATGAACATTACACGCGTGACGTACACCTTGCCTCGATTGGGAATGTTGCAACAAGTGCGCGCCCAAGTGGCTTTCTCGCATTGGGCAGATTTTCCAACGAACGAGCAAAACGGACTCGAGTCCGCTTGAGACTTGGCAAGCATCGAGAGTCGCCGCTCTCTCTCTCTCTCTCTCTCTCTCTCTCTGTTCTCTCTCTCTCTCTCTCTCTCTCTCTCTGTCTCTCTCTCTCTCTCTCTGTCTCTCTTTTTCTCTCTCTTGAGCGATCTTGACCGACGGTTTCGCGAGCTGCGCGGGTCCTGCTCGTGGAGAGACTCGGGAAGAGGACGCGACGATGAGCACAGTCGGAACTTTGCGCAGGGAAAAGAGAGGCCCCTCCTACGCGCGGCTCCTCTTCAACTCGGCTCCTGAGGAGCGCTAACGAAGAAGCAGCGGCTATGTGTGTATGTGTGTGTGTGTGCAGTTGTTGTTACGCGCGAGTCGCGGACGCCTCCTCTCCTCCGTGAACCGCGGCGTTAAAGGAGGCGTTTAACAGTACCTCGGCCGGGAATATCGCGATCTCTATTTAATACTTTACCGCGCGTGTTATCCCATAACGCGTATCTCATAATAGCGCAGTTGCTTCACCGAGAGCGAGCGGACGAGAGAAAGACTTCCTCCTCTCCGTCCCTCTCTCGCGTCCTCCTTCTCCTCCGGCTCCCCGGTGCCTCTGTGGCGCTACTACGTGGCGGATGAATGAAGGAAAGGAAGAGTAGAGTAATCCGATCGGCCTTACCAAAACGAGCAACAACCGACAGGCGCAGCGAGAGAACCGCGGCGGATGAGAGTCGGTGAGCGGCGTCATTAGCGCGACAAAGGAAACTGGTTCGCGTAATAATAATGCCACATCGCGGGCTCAGCGCGACACATCAGAGCAGAGGCAGAGGCGAGGGGCGCGAGGGGAGGATCGATCGGCGCCGCATCGGGCGCGCTTTTATCAACACGTGTATCATCGTTCGGGCGCGACAAACGCACAGCTGCCTTGCGCGCCGAGATTTATAAATAACGCCGCGCACCGGGACGGGAATAAAATTACACCGGAACGGAAAAAGGACTGGAGTCCGCGCGGAGCGCGGCCGGGGTACTCTTTTGTTTTCCTCTTTCCTACTCGTACTCAAGCGTCCTCCTACCTTCTTATCTTTCCGCGCGTGCGAGCACTTTGTGACCCGTCGCCATTTCCCCCGCGCGAGCACGTGTCTCGCCCGGCGATCGGCGGCGTCGACACGCAGGCTAAATAAATCAACGACCAAACGAAACGAACGCTCGCGAGTTAATCGTCAGCCGGCGAAGCCGAGGAGGATCCGAGACGCGTCGGACGTCAAGGAACGCCTGCGTCTCAGCTCTCAGCTGAGCCAGCTGAGATTGAGACTTTTCGCCGTTGAGGAGAGAAACGAGCGAGTATAAATTCGCAGCGACAGCTCGCGCGAGCGCGAGGAACCAAGTTTGAGCGCCTAGTCGAGCTAAAAAGAACACACCTCGAGAGAGTGCCGCGCGCGCGCGCGCGCGCGCGGCCATGTAGGCTCCTCCGGTCGTCCTTGAGGAAAGCCGCGCGCGCGAGACCAACAACGGCGCGGCGCGGCGGCGCAATTAACGGCGCGGCGAGCGAGTTCCCACGAAATTTTCGCGCGACACGCGCGACGAGAGGAGGCGAGAGGGAACAAATACGGCGCGTGATCCGAGCGCAGGTGCAGCGGCGTGACGCGTGCAGCGGCGTGGCGAGCGCGAGCGTGCATACGCACCACCGTAGGCGCGCGCGGAGAGCGCGAGTGCTGGTGGGCGGCGGCGGCGGCGGCGGCGACGGCGACGGCGGCGAGGAGGAAGAGGGTCGGCCGAAAGGGAAGGAGACGCGAGCGAGCGGGAGGGCGACGGAGAGGGCGGGGGAGGAGGAGGTGCTCGCCTGAGAAAGGAAGCAGCATCCGAGCAGCGCGGCAATAAAGGGCTCGTTTCGCCGTTGCGTTGTGGGTATATTATATTGTGCTCGGAGCACGGTAGTCGGAGCGGCACAATGTAAGCGACGTCGTATCCGCGATAAAGCCCGGCTCCAGATCGCCGTGTATCCGGATATGCGGTATTCGCGCGCTGCTCTGTGCTGCACGTGTGCGTCTTCGAGAGGAGCGCTCGGATTCGCGACGCGTATGAAGAATCATCGAGCGCGCGCGCGCGCGCGCGCTCGTCGCTGTCGCATTTCGTGCAAAATTTCAGCCGTCATGAAAATCGGTCCGATGGTCGTGTGGGAAAACCGGAGCCGGAGCCGGAGTCGGAACCTCGCTCGCAGGTGAAAGTCTCAGACCGAGGAAGACGCGTCGGAGCAGCAGCGACAGATTACGATACGCCGATGATTTCACACACAACATCCGCGCGCCAGGAAAAGAATCGCAGGCGGCCCGCGCGAGAGCGGAGTGTAAGATAAGCAACGCGCGCAAAAGCAACGGCGATAAAAGCCAGAAAACCAGAAGACACCGGGCGCCGCGCGCGGCCGCCGTTTTGCCGCGACTTTGAACGTCGCTACGCCGAGCGAAAGCTCGTTGACAGCAGCGTTTCATCAGACGTTTCTTTCAACCGTTGGACGCCTCTCTCCGTCGCGAAGCCTTCCGACCCGAGGAACGTACGCGCGTGTGAATCGACCTGTAAACCTCCGCGAGGCTCCGTATGCAAAACTCGCGCCGGCGGACGTGCGCGGCTTCCTCCTCCGGGGAAAGCACGCGAAAGACGAAAAGCGGGATGAGTAACGGCCAGCAGTGAGATCGAACGAAGTCGGCGCCGCGTGGCGCCGAAACAGTTAAATTCGGTTAATTGGCCTCGGCCGCCGCCGCCGCCGTCGCCGACGACGGCGGCGGCGGCCAAGCCGCATAGGTGATGCGAGCGACGGCGCGACACGCACGCGTGTGCGTGTACGTGTGACACGCATGAGGGCCCGCGAGAGGCCGCGTATGCAGCTTCCGCTCTCTCCCGTCGGCCGATTCTAATTACCGGGGCCCCGGCCCCGGCTCCGGCCCCGGCCGGCTCGACGGCCCCGCCGGGCCCTCACGAGGAAGGAATTAAGCGGTCTCGCTCTTCTTAGCCCGTTTTCAAGCCGGTCTCGAGAGTGAACAGAAAAAGCGGATGCGTGTGCTACCTGCGCGCGCGAGCGCATACGGAGAACCGTTCTCGCGCGGCTTTGACCGCGAGAGCGCTCGCATGTGTGCGCGATTTTTACTTTACACATTGTGCGCCTCGAGCCGTCGCCGTCGCCGTTGCCGTTCGCCAACGAGAGAGGCCCGTCGAAAAGCGACGCGTGCGGAATCCGGGCCGCAATTGGCCGCGATTGGATCGGAATGGGCAGAGAGCTCCGCGAAGGTGTCTCTCTCTCTCTCTCTCTCTCTCTCTCTCTCTTTCTCTCTCTCTCTCTCTCTCTCCTCTTCATGCTGATTGAATGGAAGAGCGGTCAAGTCGAGGTCACAGACAGCGCGCGATCCGCTTCTTTCGAACGAAAGCGCACGTTTACGCGGCCGAACTCGGCCGAAATTCCACTTGGTCGTCGACGAACGAGCCGCTAAACTCGGCTACAATTGACGCGACGGGTCAGGTTAGACTCGAGTTAGATACATTGGATGCGCCCGTATATACTCGGTGTCGTGTTACTACAGTGCGGTGGAAGATGGGTGTACTACGGTTACACAGGAAGGAAACACTAGTGCCGCCGCCGCCGCCGCCGCCGCCGACGCCCGGTATCCGTCTCTCCTCTCCTTGCTCTCACTTTCCTCTCTCCCGCGCCGAGCCAACTCCTGGCAGACACAGCGCTATGACACAACGGAGACGCGTTGCTGTAATAACACGGTTGCTAACGAGAGGAACGGCCAGAGGCAATAGAGGCTGAATAGAACAATGAAAACGCGACGATTGTTCGCGGAACAACGGCAGGTCGTCGTCGCCGCCGCTGTCGCCGTCGTAAGATTTACCGTCCTGCGGACACACGTGAAATCGAAAAGGTTTCGCAAATTGCTACGCTTCACCGTGGACTCGGTGAAACCGAAGAAATCAAGTGTGTCGCCGCGAAACGCGCGACAAAGTTGCGACGTAAACGAGCGTTCACACTGTTTTCGCTCTCTCTCGCTCTCTCTCTCTCTTTCTCTCTCTCTCTCTCTCTCTCTCTCTCTCTCTCTCTCTCTCTGAATATAATACCGCATCTTTTTATATTTAATATAACCTGTATATTTTTACATGCACAACAGGGTGATTCTCTTTTTCGTATTTTATACTTTTTATTAGACGTATCAATATTTGAGATTGCATATCGTTACCGTCGTTTACTCCCTAATCGAACACGGAAAGCTTCGATAGATAGCTCAGCACGGCGCTCGAGAGAAATCGATCCGCTCCCTCCTCCCGCCCATCGCTCCCCAGGTTTATGACTCTCGGGGAGCTTTAAAGGGACAAGGATCAAGAAGCAGTCGACAAAGTAGTCGAGGAAAAGGAGATGGAGAAGGATGAAGAGGTGGTGGAGGAAGAGGAAGAGAAGGGGGATCGCCGAAGGATGCGTCGTTTCTGGATAGTGTCACGCCTAGAACGAGACCGGAAGTGCCCTCTTGACTGGCCCACCACGTCACACGAGACATCGCACGCGTCTCTCTCTCTCCCTCTCCCTCTCTTTCTCACGGGCCAGCTGGACCACACATGCCCACACAATCGAGCGAGCAACCTTCCGACAATCTTCCTGCCTCCCGACCGTCTGAAAAACGCGCGCGTATCAACGGCCCTCGGGACTAATTTTACGATAATCCTTCGTCATGGCGCTTTTTATGAGCACCGTGCGCGAGCGCGAAAGCTCCAGCCGTGGCCAAGCGTGATAAACAACGTAGGCACGGCCAGCGAGGCAACAGAAATGTGTGTGCATTAAAGCGGGCAGATGAGAGCACAGAGGCGAAGCGTAGGCGCGCGTGGCGTACTCACCGGTCGATTGTGTGGTGTTTGCGTCGTGATAAGCCTCCACTATCAGCGAGAAGGTACCCTGCGAACAGAAAAATAACAGTGTCAGCCTCACTCGAGAGCGTAATAATCAACGGTCAATTCGCCCGACGCGCCCTCGCGCGTCATCCGCGCGCGCGCGGTGAGAGCAGCGGGGGCTCGGCTTGCTGCCGAGAAATTCCGGAAAAACTTTTTTCCTCCAACCACTCGAGACTTCCGCGCCGGGCTCCGCGATCGCGATCGCGATCGCGCGGAGGGCGAGGGGTGGTCTCTTTCCTACGCGCGTCGCGGGAAGCGTGAGGGGCGCTGCTGCGTACTCGCGCACATACGCACCTGTCGCTGTCTATGAACGCGAAGCGTGAAGAAGCGAGCGAGGGAGGAGGAACGCCCTTACGCGTCAACGCGTTGAAAGAGGTCAAAGGGGGGCGAGAGGGGCGCAGGCAGACACGCGCGCCACGCGAATATTACCCCCCTTTGGAGCAAAGGGAGAAACGTGCTCGTCGGAAGCTCGCCTCCACGGAGAGAGAGAGAGTTGACTCTCCCCCCCGCCCCGCTGCGGTATAAATCACGCGTCGCATTAAGGTGCACGTGCGAAGTGCAGCCCTCGCTAAAGCGAAAGCTAACTGCGGATGGCCGAGCGATTACGCAAACATGGCGCTGGAACGCCGCCATCTGCGGCACGTCAGCGCGCGGCCGATTCGATCTGTCGCCCCCTCCCCCTCCCCCCCCCGATTTACGACGGTTTCACGTGTAAGCTCCTCGGAAAGCGCACGTGCGGAGGTCCCATCGCCGCGGCGCGGCGGTCTCCGCTCGCAGCTCGTATCCTCCGTCGGAATCGCGTCCGCGCGATTAAGTTCTACGTTCCGAATTCGCCAATCGTGCGAGA